TGGGGCCAACCTGTTTGCCATAACTGGCCCAGCTTCACTTGCCGCAGAAACAAGCCACCAGCCATGAGTGTTATAGTCTACCAGCTGCAGTGCCCTTACTGGGTTAATCATTGTGGTTTTGTTGGACCACAGTGGTAAGGGGTCTGTTTGGCAGTGTCTGAGATTTCATGACAAGGGAAGATCTGATTCAAAGAGCAACAGCGGATGAATGAAAAGACTCCAGACACAAAGCTGCTTTCTCTCTCTCTCTCTCTCTCTCTCTCTCTCTCTCTCTCTCTCTCTCTCTCTCTCTCAGAAGCTCTATGCTCCTCAAGCACCCCACCCATAACATTATAGTTTTCAATAGAGATGAGAAACTAAGCGTGTATTTACAAAACTAATAACAAACCTTTGTCGTTATGCCAAACAGGTGGTGTGTGTGTGTGTGTGTGTGTGTGTGTGTGTGTGTACATATGTGCCTGCCTGCCAACAACTAGGTGTGGAGTGAAAGAGATGAGAGCATAGCAGATGTCCTGATAGCTCAGTCATTTAAAACATGAACAAATCTGGCAGCTTGGCAGCTCTCTGTTCAAATCCAATAGGTTACAAGACCTAAATTACATGTTGCCTCCATAGCTAGCGTGAATGATTAGAATGAGTCCTGCAATAATATTCTGGCTTTTGTTTCTGTTTTCGCACCGAGGGTTTGGCGCAATAATGAGATGCTAAACTACATTATTGTGTGCCCCCCTAAGAACCCTGGATCCGTAATTTTGGATTTCTTCATTGTAATTGGGTGCTGAGATTGTCTCTCCCATGTGAGGAAATTGTTTTGCAGCCCCGAGGCCAGGTCAGTATGCTTCATTGTAAAGTATGAAAACAATACAGGGCCAGTAATGGAAAAGCAAAGTCTGTGTGAGTTTGTTAAAGCTGATGTTTGGAGGATATGGGGTTTCTGACTGACATCACATCGTATTGTCTTTTTCTCTACTTTTAAATGATGAATAATTTAGCCTGAAGGAGCTTACACATAAATACATAGACACTGTTTTCGGAGACTATGAATGAGAGGATGCTTGTCTCCTTATAGTTATGATTGTTGAAGACTAAATATTGATGTGACTTATATTATATTTCAATGGTCCAGGTTTATTTATGACAGACAGCTGACAGGAGGTAAACTTAGATACAAGCTGGTTTTCTCATACTGTAATTCCAATAGTCATACGCTCAATAAAATGCAACAGTGACCTCACCAGTAGAGGTCTATGTTCTTTCCAGGGTCCACATAGAAAAAAAAAAAAAAAAGAGAGAGGAAGAATAGAGGTCTGCAAACCAACCACTGAATAATAGAAGGGCCACTCTGATTGCTGCATCCACTGCAGACCCGGCCTCTTGTGTGTGTATATGCTTGTGAGTATGTCAGTGAACATGTGATTGCCTCACACTGATGATGTCCCCTCTTATTTATTCATCAGTTAATCAATTCACTCCTTCAGTTCCCGAGCAGCTGAAGGAGACAAGGCGGGGCTGCGGCTCGACTGTATACACTGAGGGAAACATGGAACTCCCACAGTTCAGATTTTATAGGAGATACAGGCCGCCCCTTTTAATGTGATATAATGCTTGGTGGAAAAAAGAAATCGGGGCTTGAACTGTTTTTAATGCCACCTGTTTAGAGGAAAGGAAAGTATTAGATGGAGGAAGGAAAACCAACCTCAAAGGATTTCATTTGAGCGGAGATGGAAAGGCGGCGTTTAGTCTTTTCCTGTACGACTTTGTGTCTTTCTTCCCGTCTGTGTGCGTCTATGCGTTTGTGTGTCCGAACTTACAGGAGAGGTTCACTAGAGTTACATGTGTGTGCGACTTTGTGTGCTTATGTGTAAACAGCCGTGTTCAGTGGACTGAGGCTGATGCACTCTATTAAATATTTTATCTTCCTTTACAACTTCAACCCTCACTACACACACACACACACACACACACACACACACACACACACACACACACACACACACACACACACACACACACACACACACACACACACAAACACACGCACAATAAGCACACAAGCAAGAAGAGAAACAAAATGTGTTTTGTCTTGTCTTTGGTTAGATGCTCTTTTCTCTCTTTTCGTTTTTATAGCACCGGCAAAATGATTGTGCCTGCATAGCATGGTGAGATCATGCGTTTTTCTGTGTTATTATCCTAACGTCACACAACATCGTGTGGAGACAATTAAAAACCAGAAATTCAACTAAATCAACTTGCTCTAAGCCACCAAGATGTAGAATTATCTTTGTGTGTGGTGTTTAGGTATTTAGGATGGTAGCAGCAGCGGTTGCTGTAGTGATCATGTGAAGTGGGAATGAACTGTTATCATGTCTAATGCACGGATTACATCCAGAGGGCAAACATCTGGCATGCAGACGCAGACAGCCAGACGAGCAGACAATCAAAGCAACTCCAGTAGCCAAGAGGTTGATCCGTGCTGTGATCATGGAGATGATGGCTGCAGATAGGGTGTTCATGATGTTATTATGTGCAATAACAAGCAATGTGTTTGGACAGAAAAAAAAACACTGCTGGTGCAATCACATAGGTTGCAGCCAGCAGGATTGGAAATATTATAAAACATTTATCTCCATTAAAGGGAAATAATTTGTTGGCAGTCTTGGTATACAACAGTCAAGGTCACTCTTACTATAGTGTGCCTGAGGGTTTCACATCAGTGCCCTGATAATTTAGATTCTGCTTATTGCCAGTCACCTGAAAGTCATAATTAAAAAAAAAAAAGAAGTTTCCAAGAGGAAAAATATCCTCTAATCATGCCACTTTCATGTCCTCTCATTAAGGATGTCATTAAATGGGAGACATAAAATTTGAGCTAAGTTTGAAACCACAAAGTGTAATGAGAAAAAAAACTTTGAAATAGATGTAGAAAGAAGTAAATGGGCTACAATATAATGCAGTAGTTCTGCTATCCTTTTAATCATGTAAAACCATAAATCTACAATGAACGATAGTGGGGGAAAGGTGTCACAAAAAAAACAAAACACTAGTAGTTTCAGTTTTCCACTGCTCTACCTTTCTGTTAGATGTATTATAACAGAGAATACTCCGCATTTTCTCACAAGTAATTACTTGTTCCTCAAAGTAAAATCTCTCCCTGAGCCAGACTGTAAATCTGTATTATGCCTGAATTTGATGTCTAATGTATCCATGGTAACCTGTTAAACCCTGTGTTAACAGTAGGGGAGGTCCCTTCTCTCCCCATCATCACCAGTTCCCTGGCTAGTCCTGACACATCTAGGATGTATCGTTTCCTTCAGGCCCTCTGTCTCTCTCACACACAAACGCACGCACACGCATGCACGCACACACACACACACACACAGGCCATCAGTTGCAACCAACAGCCCACTTCATGTCCACTGGGAAATGTATGTGTCATTTCCTGTTCTTGTCTTCACCTGTAACACGTCACAACCTGACTACAGCTATAAGATGTGATGCCACATGAAGAGGAGAGGAGAGGAGAGAAAAGGAGAGGAGAGTAGAGGAGAGGAGAAGAGAGGAGAGGAGAGGAAGTTGGCCATGAAAGCAGCATTTTTAAACAGGCCATTTGTAACTAATATATAAAGATATGGTTGAATCTAAATATACAGTTTTTTAGATGTAAATATAATAACTGTTATTGAGACTGTATTTGGGCTCTGACTTTTTCATTACATACTGTAGGATATGAATTATTAATATGACAACCTCCGTGACAGGGTGTCCATTGTCTATACTTTATTTGCTGGTGAATTTATGTAGCACATAATTATTACTAAGGTTAAGTAATAAGTAAAGACCTTTGGACTAAGGTCGGTTATATTACTGAAATTATTGTGCAGCTGAGAGTAATTTGCTTTCCACGGCAAATAAACTGCATACATCAGTGACATATTGTACTAAATGGTACTTACAAATACAGACACCTATAGACTACTACTTTGCATTAATCGCCACTTACACTAAATTATCACACTTTATAAACAACTGTTTATACCAGTCCTTCAGTAGAGAAATATATGGAAGAGTTGAAAAAGAAAAGTTGATGTTTTTTCATCTTTAACAGATAATGGATTGGTCGTGAAAACCAAAGTTAAGCAGACCATGTCCTGCACATAATCTTCCACTACACACTAGCTATATGTTATGAACATAATAGGCTGTGAACACAATACAGAACAACTACACAGCTGGCCACTCTTAGTAAAATTCCCATGACCTAGACATGTTAATCCCCATCCAGACATGTTGCAAAATCTCCTATAGAGCAAGATGATTAACGTCACCCACCACTTCACCCACACTATGCACATGAGTATATAGTGTATACAGTACATACTGTATACACACTCCAAATACAGAGGCAGAGACACAAAGCTATAAACAATGGCAGATTAAAATACAAAAGTGTGCGCACACACACACACACACACACACACATACACACACACACACACACAAACGCTTACACACACACATAATTTAAATACTGACAAACACACAACCAAACATGCACTGAAACACACTCTTATAAAACTTGACAAAGACATTAATATTGTGATTTACACAGTACATTCAAGTCAGTAATGTTTTTTTGGTAACCGTGTTTATAGATTATGTAATATACATAAATATGCAGCAGTATCATAATAGTTATGATGATATACTATGTATGATTTGGACAAGATCATGCTAGATCACAGTTGGTGGATAATTTGTCTTCCTTAAACTTACACTGTGTGTGGTATTTTATGAGTGGCTCATACACAAAGGAGGGCACTGACACTGTGTTAGTCTGACTAGTCTGTTTATCTGTGTGCATTTCTTTGCACGTGCACAAGCGCACACTCCTGCAAGCTCAGAGTTGTAAGTTCATCTGTGTGCAAGTCGATTTCTATGTTGCGTGTCTATATTTCTGCCTAGAAGTGTGTGTAGCCTTCTGTTATCGAGTGTGTTCTTACCAGGCAGGTCACAGCCGAGGACCTCCATCCTCATGCCAATCCCAGCGGGCGACCACCTCTCCGGAAAGACTCTGATGTACTGGGCCACTATCTCGTCGAACCTCCGCACCTCTGGAGTGTCGTAGTGGCTGTTCCCTTCGAAAATCTAAGAGGAGGGAAGCAAAGGCAAGTTGATAGGGATGTTAGTAATGTTTAGAGCGTTGTTAGAGAGAGTTTTCCTGTGTTCACAACAAGTAATGAAGTAAGGATAAAACATATCTCCCCTGGTGTTAAGGATATTTTCCTGCCAATTTTGACATTCCTGAGTTCAGTTCATGCACTCAACAGGAAAATCTATCTAATGGCCAATTTCTGTTGCCAGATGACAGCTGCTTATTTAAAGTAGGGGTTTTCAGGGGTACAAAAGATGGAGTGACAAGCTTTGACTCATGTCAAATGTCAGAATGTGTACACTGATACCGATACACTGTGGGTGAGCTTTCTGAAGCAATGGAGAAACGTGCAAACAGCAGAGGTACTCAAATTTTGTCATTTCATTGCTCCAACACTTAAAACAATAGGAAAATGGTAACCTTGTCTTTCCAGAGTCATATAACATTCCTAATCAGCATTGTTTCCCAGCACAGTGTGACGTGCCATAAAAATAACAACAGAGGGTGTGTTCCCTTTGATTTTCATATAATTTTTTGAGGCGGCTTGCGGAACCCTCCGGCAGAAAGATTTATTACGAGCTGCAAACTGACTTGACTACACTAATGCTGTCGAAAAAAAAATGTGGGCTGTGAAAGTTGTAATATTGGTTTCATTAATTGAATTGTATCTTCTGTCTCCTCCATTCTTGGAATTTTAAAAACGTATGATGAATTTCCCAGGATGCTCATTTAAAAAGACAGACAGATGAGAGAGAACAGGGTTTTAGCATCAGGAGAAAAGCCAGGCACTCAGTAGTACTATTAAAGGGTTTTAAGACTGATTCTCAGAAAAGAGAACGGAGTTTAAAGTGCCCTGTCTCATAGTGCGTTAGATTGCCAGCAGTGTTGGGTGGTGATGCAGGAAAGACATTTTTAATTAACACCCATGAGAGACAAATAGACGATGAGTGAACGAGAGGATAGAGAGACAGAGGAAGGCAGAGAGGGAGAGTACAAAGGACTTACAGAGAAGCAAAGACAGAGGCAGGGAGAATGAGGAGTGAGGTGATTAAATTGAATTATTATCAGAGCTGAGGCTGTAATAAAATGGCTTTTCTTTTTCTTTTTTTTTTGTGTGCTGAAAATGACGAGGCCGAGAGAGAAAGAGACAGACGCAAAGAGGGAGGGAAAGAGAAGGAGAGTGAAGAGGGATTTAGTTGAAAGACAGCTATAAATAAAACTACAAATCAGGAAGAACTGACAGTGACAATCAGAGAGAAGACAGTACATATGTATGTGTCAGACAGACATGATTATGTGTGTGTATGTGTTTGTGCGTGCGTGTGTGTGTGTGTATTCCCCTCCTTCACCTTAGCAAAGCCCGTCTTGCTGTCGGTGATGTAGGTCCACTCTTTGCCGGTTAAGCTGTGCGCCAGTTTGTACTTCCTGACAAACGCTCTGTTCTCAGCGCTGGTGCTGCCCTCCAGCCCTCTTGCACCCTGGGTAATAATGCCACGCACCATCTTGGGCACGCCGAGGTCCACCTGCAACACAGAATTACTAATGTTAGCTCGCTGTCTGCACCACAGAAGCCACTTTCCACATCTCCCGCCTACTGTGGCTTTCCCTAGCATACGATCAATCAGCTGGTTTTCGGTTAGAGAACTCTGGAGAAGTTGTCAGGCTCCACATCCAGCTTCTTCTTTGCATCTCTACAGTATTTCCTGAACGCGATGTGAGAGTGTGACGCACTGTGTTGTTTTGCAGTTTGCAGCATTGAGATCTTTGGCTTTTGTATAATATCGATTCATTTTCTTAATCTTGTCTCCTTCATGTTCACATGGTTTATTCCTCTAATATCCTCTGCTGCACCTTTTGTTTGCTGAGGCCACCAACTCACAACATTTACTGTCTGATGCAGTAAAGTGAACCTCACCTGTAGCCCCTTACTTTCAGCGTGTCTTTTTCAATTGGGAACAAGGGACTAGTTCTGTAGAACATAATATTGTTCTGTTAAAAAGAAGAACACTTGTAAAAGTTACACTGACATACCTGTAGCCACTCCTCTCCCGCTATGGGTTGCGTTGGGTTGGGAAACCAGCCTGACCGACTGGCCACCAGCCTGGCTGCCCCCATGGAGCCGTGGATGTCCCTCATGGAGGATGCAGAGATCTGGGAGTCAGGCAGCAGCCCAGACAACATGCCCTGCAGCTCTGAGCAGGGAGCATCTAAACAGGAGACAGAGAAAAGGGAATAAGGATACTTTATATTAATCATTACATAAACTGTTTGATTGCTTCTACAGGTGGGAAGGTGATTTCTGTTCATTTTGCTGGGGTATTACAATCAGTCCACGATGGGAATGAAGGTTGATGCATTTTCTTAAGTAATATTATCATTGCATAGTGATGCAGTTTCAAGAAGAGACTGTTTAGAAAACAAAACTTTGCGCTCCTCTCTCTTAATGTTTCAAAGATCTCCACAGCATCAAAGATTTAATAGTCAGCTGCTAAAAATGTCCAATAACCAAAGGCACAGGACAAACAATATGAAAGCCTAATTGCTGTGAAAAGACTCATACAAATTTGGTCATTTTTTGCATTAAAAAGATTCATGTTAGATCTTTGTTGAATAAACCAACAACAAAGACTTGTTAATGGACTCGCAAGTTTCAACTGCAGTGCCGCACAGAAATAATATAAAATTGACACAAAAATTAAGCAGATGTTTGTGATTGATTTTATTCCTCAAGAAAATGTGAAATGAAATTAGAGGCGGCCAAGAAGGTAGATATTCAAGTGAAAAACAGTTTGGAGTGGTGGAAATGTAAAGTAATTTGAAAGTAACAGGCCAACACATGCCGTTCATCATTATTCTTTAGAGGCTATTGGATTTTCTGGCTAGATGAGATTGCTGCGTTGCTAAAAGATCTTCACGAATGAATGTGACTTTCAGGTCAGGAATAATTTGGTGCAACCATTTGATCTCATCTCGGAGCAAGACTCTTGTGTGGCTTCGACATGAATTGTTAAAACAACAACTAGTGTGTTAAGACTCCGCAGCCCTTCTGAGCTGCTTTCCATCAACCCATTTCATTATTTTTCCTTCCTACCGCTGCAAAGTTGATGCATAACTTTAACCGAGCTACCAAAGGGGATTCTTCATAGGGAATCGAGCCAGAGAACTCCCAAACAGACGAACTAAATGAAAGCATGTTGCAGATCAAAGGGATGCTGTTTATTACACTGACAAATGTGCTTTAGTCTAACAAGCTGCAGAATATGGTATCGCCATAAATAATGACAAAAAAACTAAACACAGGGAACCGACAAAAGTGACCACTTCTATTTGGAAATGAAGAGAAAACATTATGGGATTAAAGAAAAGATGAAAGCAGAATATGTTAGGGAGGGAAACAGAAGGATAAATAAAGAGAAGAGGAAGGGGCAAGATAAAAGGTGCAGGAGGAGGAGTTAAAGGACAAGGAGGAGATAAAGAGACAGACAAAAGGTCAAACAGAAAGATGAACTGAAAAGAGAGCATGTGAATAGAAAGGGTGTGAAAGATAACGAGAGATGCGAGCGAAGAGAGAGAGAGATGGAGAGAGAGAGAGAGAGGAAGGGAGAGCAGATTGACAGTGAAGGGTGACGGTGATTGATGGTGACATTCTACTGGGCTTCGTGGAGATGAAAGTTTAATGTTGTGACGTTTGCAACCGCGCCTCACTATGGTAAATAATGAATCAACAATAAACAGCAACAGCTACAGCCCATGCTAGATGAGTTCCCTCAAGCTCTGTAACAGACCTGGAAACTGATTAGCCAGAAGAAAACTCTATTATTATGTTGTTTATTTGATGTTTCTTTTTTTATTTCTGTTTCAGCAGCGACTGAACTCCAGCAGCAGGCGTTTTAATGCAGGAGTGCAGTGGGAGTCGATGGGAATATCATCTCTGGAGATCACAGTAACAGAAATAGCCAGATATCACACACCACCAGGAGAGCCCTTAAAGCTCTCTCTTCCTCACACACACATTCATATATATATATATATATACACACACACACACACACACACACACACTTGCACAAAGCAATTCAGTCACAGCATATAGTAGTAGCAGAGTCAAGGTCTCACACATGTTGAAACACACTTCTTCTCACGCATGCACGCACGCACGCACGCACGCACGCACGCACGCATGCACGCACGCACGCACGCACGCACGCACGCACGCACGCACGCACGCACGCACGCACGCACGCACAGGGTCACACAAAAGCTGTAAAAAGCTGTACACCACCGATGCTCCACCTGGCCGATACACACATACACACAAATGGTTTTCCAAATGCACACCACACTCACACACACACCACACAAGCCTGGTGAGAAAAAAAAATGATAAAGGCCCTAAAAATAAATGATTGATAGCTGCTGCGGGGCTGAAATAAAATGAGATTAAGGTAGGAGAGAAGGAGGGATGGACGAAGGGAGAGTTGAATGAGGCAGGGGCAGGGAAGATTTAAGGGAAGGGATGTAGAGAAAATGAGAGAGGGCGAGAGAAAAGTGGGAATGAAAGCTGTCAGCAAAGGCAAGGTAAGGACAGAGGGAAAAGCAGAATGAGAGGAAAGAGAAAAAACAGGGCAACATTGAAGAGGGATAGGCAGAAAGAGAGAAAGGAGTAGAGCGAGAGACATAAAAGTGTGATTTAAGTTAATGACATGTCACTGACTGACTGCTTTATGTCTGCCTTTATAGGCCTGTGTAGGGCATTATCACATTCCCCCTGGCAGTGTGTTCATGGGTGTGCTTGTCAATATGTCTATGCGCAGGGAAAAGAAAGAGAAAAGATACTGCATGGCTGTTAGCAGGTATGTTTGGTTAGCAAGTTTTTCCTCTGCAATTTATAGACATATTTTACTGAAAGTGTGGCACAGCGGTTTGTTTTGCTCTAAAGCAACAAACTCCTTCATCCTCTTCCACAAAAGACAAACTCTTCTGAAAACGGTCACGATTTTTGCATAAAAAGTCAGCCGCATGATGGATTGCTGACATTCCAGGGTGGCAGACATGGGCGATATCCGGGGGAAACAGAAATGGCCGAAAGATGTGTCGAACGGCTTCTCAGTGGTGAGAGTGGTGAGAGAAGTAGGGTGATATATAATGCAATTTCAGGTGTTAAAATAGGGTAAAAAATGGGCACTTTGTGGAAAAGAACACAAGCAAATTTACCTGATATATGTCACGTCCACAACTCTTTCGCTTGTTCTCTCTCTCTCTCTCTCTCTCTCTCTATTTCTATCTCTCTCCTACATATACATACACACACAAACACACACACAGCGACACATCAGCACCATAACACGACAGCACACACAGAATCATATTGTTTTGGTGTGATTGTGATTTGTGTGGGTGCTGAAATAGCCATCCTAGATAAGAGCATATCTGTCCCTCTCAATGGCCACTACGATGGCAGCAGAGAGAGGCCCTAACCTAATAATGATACGGTGTAGCTGGGACACACAAACACACACACACACACACACACACTGAAATGGATTGAAACTCTCTCTCTTTTACCATCTCTAGAACATATACATACATGCGCGCGCACGCGCACGCGCACGCGCACACACACACACACACACTGAAATGGATTGAAACTCTCTCTCTTTCACCATCTCTAGAACATATACATACATGCGCGCGCACACACGCGCTCGCGCACGCGCACACACACACACACACACACACACACACAGTCTAATTAAGTTTTATCTATTTATAGTATTGAGCTGATTATGCTGGTTGAAATCGTGTTTGTTTGCCAGGGCTGCAGATGAAAGCTGAGAGCCTGTTACTCTCTGATGTTATCACCCACACATCACACTCTAGTATTATTCTATTAGGACTGAGAGTGTTTCTTTTTGTGTGTGTTTTAGTGTGCGGTGTGTGAGTGGGAGACAGAGAGGGAGGATATGTATATGAAAGAGTGAGGGCAAGAGTGTGAGTGCACATGAGAGTGGGTGTGATGTGCGCCTGTGAAAGGGAGAGAAGTATGAATAGAAGCACTGGATGGATTGATGGATGGACAAATTACTGAATTATTTATCATGAGATTATTTAAATGAAGAGAGAGAAAACGATCCTTTCGCATTTGCCTGTTCTTCTCCAGGAAATGTTTTCTAAAGGAGTTATTTTTGCTCTGACCCACCTTCTGACCCGCTGTAAAAGCCAATACATCACTGGTATAAAACTTGGCAAGGCGACTACTGTGTTTTCACAAGAGTGATTCCCACGAGGAGACTGATAAAAAAAAAAAAAAAAAATTTTTAAGAAACTCTACAGAAAAAGAAACTTCTCGTCATCGTTCTTACCTGTAATCTGACAGCCGTAAAGCTCGAACCGCAGTGCAATGCCGTTCTTCCAGGTCTGAGGTCTGATCCGTACGAAGCGGGCCAGCACCGGCTGTGGGATCCGATTGAGAACCACATCTGTGGCGTCAGCGTTGGCATGAAAAACCTATAGAGAGAGAGGAGCATAGGACATTTAATAACACTGCGCTGTTATTCTGTAGAGGAAGTGCAGAGGAAGAGTGAGCTGTGACACAGGAGCTCAGGTTCAGGGTCCTCTTAAGGGCATCTCATGACAACTCAGGAGATTGGACACACATCCTCGAGGTCAGCGAGACAAAGGACAAAGCCTGATGCCACTGGGTCGTGTATCATTAGCATTCTGTTCTGCTGGTATCAGTCTCAGGTCTGCAGGTTAAATATGGAGCTGGAGTCAAAATGAGGTTGGCCTAGCTTAGCATAAAGACATGACATAGGGGTAAACAGCTACCAAGCAGTCTTGAGCTGACTGACTCACACAGTGTTTGTTTAACCTGTGCATATACAGAAATGTAAAAACAACAGCTTGTGATTTTAGGAGGAGTAACATAAACAACACTATCAGAGCACAGTATAAAGACTATCAAACAGCTGGTATCCATAGCAACACATATTTATGTTTCAGTGGTTAAACTGACTCGGGACAACATAATTTAACATGAGACAAATCTTTCTCCTGTATGCATGTACATAAATAAACACACACTCTGAATATACTGTCTGTTCATAAAGGAAGGAATGAGCGCAAAGGTTTTCTTACACACACACACACACACACACACACACACACACACACACACACACAGTGTGAGGGCATGAAGTGTGCAATAAATCAAGAGTGCAAGTATGTGGGAGAGCATCCTCTTCTCAGACCATCCTCCTCTCACGTCCTCTTGACTTAACGACACACACACAGACACACACACACAAAACACACACAGAAAGGAAAACATCTTTACTTCTTCACGCACAGACAGCAAAGAAAAACACAGTCACCCCAAAACACAACACACACAACACTGTATTCACACATGCTGTTTCCAGACACAACTGTCTCTGACACACACACACACACACACACACACACACACACACACACACACACACACACACTTACACGTTGCCCTCCAAGATCCTACACTCCCCAGCATGTGCTCACACAAAATGATTTCCTCTGAAAACACACAAAAATACAGATGAAAGGAAATTGAATGCCAGCGCCTATGGCCAGAAGAACTCTTTTTGTCTCTTGACACCAAGACTTTATATCTGTGTCTATCAGTCAGTGTCATCTCTGTTGGGCTCACCACAGGAAAACACAGCTGGGCTTCTGCTCTTCTCCCTTTCATTTCACTTTCTTCCCTCCTTCTCGTCTTTCTCCAAGACATCTCTTTCCCTCTCTCTCTGTCTGTCTTTCTGTCTCGCTGCCATGATGATACTGCTATAAATTTAAGAGAAAAAAAAAAATCCATCCTGTTGTTTCATTACAGAACCTCAAAGGCTGTTTTCCCTCTGTGTCTCTAATACTCTTTCTATTATGTTACATCAGCACTGAAAACACAACATAGTGTGTTTATTACAGAGAGCAGTAAACCTCATTCAACAGAGCCAAAGGCCTTGCAATTACTTGCTTGGGTAGTCATTTATAGATGTTAGCTTTGTTTTAGGTGTGTGTGTGTGTGTGTGTGTGTGTAAATTCACTTCTTTTCTCTTGTTCTCAATCCATTAAACTGCAGGACCTGTCAGGGGTGACAGAATATGGATGAAGGTGGTTTCTGACTTGCAGGAACAGGAGCAGGCTACAGGCCCAGCAGGGAATTGAACTCATGACCCACTGGGTGTACAACACAAAGTCAGACCCAGTGAACTCATGCCCTCACAGTGGCCTTAATACCAGAAACTGTGACCAGTTAAATGATGGAAAAATGCCCAAAGGCCCCAAAAGACTTAATTGGATTGTGGCAGCAGACTGTAATTACAAGTGTGTGTGTGTGTGTGTGTGTGTGTGTGTGTGTGTGTGTGTGTGTGTGTGTGTGTGTAAAAGTGTAATTATGAAGTCTCACTCTTAGGATTTGGGGGCTGGCGGGTGCTTTCTGATTTCCCTTGGTGCGCACTGAAATATTTCTTCAGCACATGTACGCACATGCACACGCACACACACGCACGCACACACTAACACACACATATAATTTGTTGTACCTTCTTTTATGTAGTGTATGTGTACATAAGAGTGTACATTGTATGAGTCTTTAGATTATTTTGTATGCGTGTGTGTTTTTGTGTCTAACCTTGTTGTTATCCTTTACCAGCTTTTAAATTGGCAATGGAGTGTGTGTGTGTGTGTGTGTGTGTGTGTGTGTGTGTGTGTGTGTGAGAAGGACTTCTGAGAACTGTATACAAATTATCCATGGACATGAATCTAGTTTTTCTTTATTACCAGCTTTTTTCAGGGTCAACAAACAGACTTGCAGCTCTACTCAAGCTGCTGCTTGATGCACTGTCTCACTGTTATAACAGCTGCTTCATAATCTCTTCAGTAAACTTAAGTTGCCCCTCGCTGTCTCAGACAAAGATTTTCTTTCTAAAGACAGTCAAAAAATGATCTCTTAAATATTCTGAATCAATGCTAAGCTGACCTCACTTAAAATTTAAATATGCTTTTTTCTACATGGTGCATATTTTACCCTGCTGTGCGACTTGAACTGGAGTTTTTTAAACCTTCCTGTTCGGGCTCATTAACCCATGCTGGAGTGATTACTTGTGTAACTTCTCATTTGTTTCTGTGTCATACAACAGCTATGTAATGAAAGGTGGAGGTGGATCACAGTGAGCAGTGTCACAATAACGTCAACCTGTGAGTATAAACAAATAATAATGTATTAGATTGATAACCTGGCAATAATCAGCCAAATTAGGCATAACCTAGGGTTTGTGCACATTTATTACCAAATCTATTTTTGTTTCTGTTACAACAGATGAAAGCAATCCCCCTGCCCCCTCCAGGCTCTGGCTCTGTGGTGAGAATCCACAGTGACAAGATGTAAGAGGAGATGTAACAACCCTGAGGCCTTAAACTCCTAAATTCACTTGTAACAGTCTCTTTCTAAAAGGTTTGAATAACAATCAGCTAATGGACTACACCTGCAACCCAGCTCAGGTTATTATATATGTGTGTGTGTGTGTGTGTGTGTGTGTGTGTGTGTGTGTGTGTGTGTGTGTGTGTGTGTGTGTGTGTGTGTGTGTGTGTGTGTGGAGGTCTGTGCAGGTTTGTTAAAGGTCCGATGTTTCCACCTGTGTTAAGAGACACGGAAGATGACACCTGGGTGAACAGATGCTTGACTTTACACCTCTTTTTCTCTCTCTCTCTCTCTCTCTCTCACACACACACACGCGCACACACACACACACACACACACACACTCACATGTGAAATCTTATTCAAATGTTACTTTTATCTCTCAGAAGTTCAAAGGTCACAGACATGAGGTGAATCTTGTTTTCTCCTTCTCTTACACACACGCACTCTACTGAATACCAACAGTGTGCAGTAGTCAAAAGGCGACTGACCAGGGCTAGCGTGTAACTACAGGATAGGAAAAGAGCATGAGGAGGAATATGTTCAGTTGTGTGTGTGTGTGTGTGTCTGTGTGTGTGGTCGTGTCGTGATCCTGCAGGGCCACAGTCAGTCAGCCAGCGAGAACCAGCACAGACGTGCTGAATTATTCAAATGTCCGCGCTGTGCGTTTTGTGTGTGTTGTGTGTGTGTGTGTGTGTGTGTGTGTAGGCAGAGTTATAAAATAGTAAAACAAACCCCATCTCCTCTCATTTCATCACACAAGGACAAATACACACACACACACACACACACACACACACACACTTCAGGGAAGTAACCTGACTTTGACAGCTGAATCTGAGTGTGTGTGTGTGTGTGTGTGCGTGTGTGTGTGTGTGTGTGTGTGTGTGTGTGTGTGACAGTACAGTGCACAAATCTCTCAAACCAAATGACACATGGCAGCCTTATAATATCCCCCTTTGTCCCTTTCCTCTCTATTCCTCTCCGATTTTCTTTCTTCATTTGTCACAAACTCTTTTCTCCCGCTCTCCTTTGACCTCACCCTCCCTCCTGCCTTTCCCTCACCTCTCAGCCTTCCTCTCTCTCCTCTGTCGTTTTATTTTCTTTCCCGTCTCCTGACATCCTTTTCAGGCTGTGTTGCTGAGACCTCTGATCTATCCAGAGGGACTTCTGGTCAACACCCTTGTCTGCATTTCTCGTTATTCCTCCTCTCCTCCATGACTCCGTTCATCCGTCCATCCCTCTTTTTTTTGCTCCTAGGCTCCCCCGTGAACACTTCTTCCACCCCCTCTGCCTCTCTCCTTCACTCACTTGTTCCCCTATGAACCTCGCCTCTCTCCCTCTGGTTTCCACCTCTCCTCCTCCCTCTGCACCGCTCAGGTCCTCCTCTCTCCATCAGTTCAATGCTTGACTGGTTGACCTTTTGCTTGTGTTTTTCTGTCTTTCTTTCTTTACCAATTTTTTTTTTCCAACTTTCCTACACTTTCCTCTCATCACCATCTCTCTCCCTCCCTCTCATTCCACCCACGTCTCCCTCCCCCATCCTTCTCTCTCCATCCATCCTCCCTCCCACAGATTAAGGTGGGAATAGGAGGTTTTGGTCTTGGCCGCAGTCCAGTGTTGTAATGGCCACAGACAGCTCTGCCTGCAGCAATTCAGCAGGGCTATGTAATGACATTTGTACCACATCGAGCTTAAATGTACCTCAACTAACAGAAGGTCTCAAACTCCTCCGGACAAAGACTCAAACTGAAACAACATCATTTCTCAACCTGAGACCTGGGGTCACTGAAAACCGCTGCTTCTCTCTTGTCATGTGGGCAACCTCCCATAACCAGGCCCACAGCCAACTCTGCTCACTGAATCATACAGCAGTTTGAGTTATACAGACAGTGTCATTATTTCTTTCCGTTCCTATGTAATGCAAGTTCGCATGTGCAGTGCAACGATCAGACATGACCTGATCGTAAAGAGAGGATGTGAAAAAAAAAAAACGCCGGCTGCGCAGTAAAAAGAGGAGATGCTGATAAAGAAAAGCATCATTATTTATGGATATAAAGAACGAGAGAGTTGGCGAAGAATCAACCACTTACTCTGCTGCATGTGTCTTGAGTCGGTATCTGTCATTAGAGAGCCTGTCAGTACAACGCAGGAGTGAATGCTGTATGAATATTACTTTCTCCATCTCGCCAAAAAAAAGTTTCTGCAAGTTAACATGTATTCCATATGTTCCATCTGGTTCACAACAGGCCTTTAATGACATTATCAAATACATTACAGATCACACAAATCATCATGATGCTGGGTGACAGTGGCGCCGCCCCTATGGGCTGGCTCCCAGATGTTAAAAACCAGTGTGTGTGTGTGTGTGTGTGTGTATGTGTGTGTGTGCGCACAGTGGCTGCTTTATTAAGACTTACTCATCTGAGACAAATTTTAACACACAACAAAAATGAGGTTGTAAACATACATCGTGTGTGTGTCTTTGCGTTTATGTACACGCATAAGTGTGTGACTTTGCACGAGCACACGCTGTACACCTTTCTTTTCCCTCTGTCCATATGGCTCCCATTAATTTTTGTCCTCCTTTAATGCCTCTTGCTCATAAAACACTAATTCAACAATTCTTCCAGATTAGCACACACACACACACACACACACACACACACACACACACCATCACTGTAGCCAAGCACAAAAAGTCATTCGTCCGAGCAGCATAAACTTGCCTGTCTACTTCATGATGACTTTCTCAGCGACATGCGGGGGAGAGGGAGAACGAATGATGGAGTGTCGAGGGAAGGGGAAAAGAGGGGAGACGGAAAAGAGAGCAAGACTGGAAGGATGAGGTGACCGAAGATGTAAAGAGGGTGAACGAGTAGACAAGGAGCGAGGAGCTGATGGATGAAGAGATTTTGAGAGACCTAGAGGCAAAAGGGTGAGTGAATAAAAATGTTAAAGAGGAGATGGATGGATTGATGGACAGTGGGTTCAACAAGTTAAACAGTACTTCTCCATATATCTGAAACAGTAGGAAGCTACACTTTCTCAAAAGTAGTAAATTAGCAATTCCGATGCGAGGCTGTCATGCAGATTTAAGTCCAGACAAAGAAAAATATCACATGCTTACAACTGATCCCTGCCTGAAGTGATCCGGGATCTGCTCTCAATTATAAAAACTATTTCCTTGAATTATCCTGTGAATGCAGACACAGCATTTCACACACCCAAACTATAAAACACTCTGCCAAAAAAGATCCTCTTGGCCAGTGCTGCTGAGTGATTTATGTGCCTTTCTAACATAAAACACACACTCTCACTTACACCCCGAAAGATGATAGAGACGGTCGGGGTGGCAAGGCTTGTGCTGACTGGCCGTCTGAAGTGTGTCAGCTGAGAAGGGACATTAGGCACCGGGATGCTGACACCATCGTTTCATCATCAGATAAATGACCATCGCTCTCTTCACCTTTTTGCTCTGCCTGCTCTTTAATCTCTCCCTCTCGGAACAGAGGAAGCACCATAACATAAAGGCTGTATAGGCCTACAGTATATATATGTATATACTGTATATGTATCTGATTAATGTTACATCCAGTTGATCATATACAGTGGTGGATCCAATGAAACGATCAGCAACCCTGAGCTGAACCATCAGATTACTGCACAGACTGACTCGCCAGGGGGCCAAATGGCTCAAAAGACCCTTGCCAGTTGGCTTGATATTGTGTGTGTGTGTGTGTGTGTGTGTGTGTGTGTGTGTGTGTGTGTGTGTGTGTGTGTGTGTGTGTGTGTGTGTGTTTGCAAGACAAGGGAGGGATATTCTAAGGGAGCAGAAGCTGGTGCTGCTTTATTCTAAACCCCTCCTCCTCCTCTTCCTCCTCAACGACACACATTCATATGCACGTGCACGCACACGTAGCCCCATATATCTCTCTGGGCAATCAGCTTTGAAGCAGCTTTCCAGGGCTATGGGGGACTCAAGGGGGATTATGGGTGGTGACACCAACAACAAGCCCCAAAACATAATCATTTATCCGTTTTGCATGTGGGATTTTTATTGTTTCATAGCATGGTGTCAACAAATTACTGCTATTTGACTGACAGCACAGCTGATTTGATAAAGAATGACTGATTTATCAATTGATTTCACATTTTTTATATCACAATTCCTATGTTTTCCATTTATAAAAAAAAAATGTAACTTTACTTCACATCAATTAAATGATCAAAAGTGTTTCTATTCAATTTAACCGTCGACTAAGCTTAATAGCCGTAAACTTGCCTGACACTCACTTCTATTCGCTCTTTCTTCTATCATACCTCAACTTATCCCAACTACCTTTCCCCACGGTTCCCACTGTTTTATCCATCAATCATTTCTCTGGGAGTTAGCTGCAGCTATAAGCCTTACGGGATCTGCAGTCCACAGAGGAACGCCCAGATGGTTAGTCTGGATCTCCTGTTTCCCTCTTGCAGCATAAAAAGTATTTGAATGTACAGTATGCATCTGCAGGCATTAGTGTTCATGAAGGAATCAGGGTTTATAGCACAAAGCTAGACGTGGCATTAGACCGCAGGACAAACATATGTGGGGGAGAACGGCTGTGATAGGAAAAAAAAAAAAAAAAACCAACCACAACCACTGGAATGCTCCTTTCCTTAATTGCCGTTGCAACCTTTTTAAAGACCCTCAGACCTGTCTGCTTCATTTCTACCCGCACCCCGGACTGCAGCACACTCACTGATGACACATCATGCCTTAACACCTCTGAGAGAAGCAGCTTAGAAACCTGTCCAACCAGGTCAACATTAGGCAGAACTCTGACCAGTGAGTAACAGAAACCAGATGGGATGTTAAAAGCAGATTGCACTGTAAATGTAGTTGCATGCAATGATGTAAGGACTCACTGGGAGCTTGGAGACGTGTGCTGATTCTGGCTTGGTCATAAACCTTTAAATGAAGCCAACTGAGCAGCAGTGGAACGGCTGTAATTGCAGACACCGTTTGAATTTTGGGCGTGTGGTCAACTCTTGCTGCATATATTCCATCTCATATTTCTCTCTACCACTTCCATGTGGGCACATGTCGAGGCGTGTGTGTCACCTAAGAGCATCCAGACTTTCTTTAATTGCCCCGTCTAGTTTGCAGGCCCTCAGAAGGGAGTGTATGTTTGTGCATATGTGTCTGAGCCTACCTTATGATTCTTGCCATGTCTGTAGACCATCCAGTCCTCTCCATTGGTGCTGACCTCAAGCTTGAAGGTGGTGACATAGTAGGTCTTCTCAGTTTCCTTCGAAATGGCGCCTTGCGTGGCGATGCCTGTCAGCACCTTCAAAGTATGGAGGTCCACCTGTTGGCCAGGAAGACCCAAGAAGTTTTAATAAAAATAAAAACATCATAAACAAAACATTAACGAACGCAAACAAGCTGAGAACAGATCGGTCAGCTGGTTTCTGAAGGCATGTCTGGTGAAGGCTATAAAAAGCTGAAACACACAGTGACCCAGTGGCACAACAAATTTAAGAATAAAAACTAAAACTGTTTGACATAACAGAATAGAAATGAAAAAAAAACCAAAACACACACACCTATTTAAATCACAACAAAATTCCCTCATCATTCTGATCTAAATCCAATCCTATGTCTACGTCATACACCCGACAAAATAAAAGTTCTAAATATTAAAGATAGACATAAACTCACAAATATACGCCTGAGTTTATCAGCATCCATCTCTCACCTTCACCACTCTCCTTTCCTCCCCTCCTCATCTCCTTCTCTGTGCTCCTCTCCTCTCTGTGTCTTTCTCCTGGCAGATCGATAGTAATGACCTGGGGCTCATTTTAATTTCCTCCCATACAATAGCCATAATCACCTCCCCATCCTGATTGTGGATGCTATGCTACGTGTCTGGCATGCTGTGAGCTGTGTTGCATTATACGTGGACAGCATTGTGTGCTGGATGGGGGCTTCAGACTCCTTTATTTCAAGGTCCCTCAAGTAGATACACGTTTGTTTTGCTCCACAGTGTCTGAAATGAGCGCATCAAGCAGAACAGCGTTGCTCTCTAAATCATAATAGAAAGTTAAAAAAATATATATACAGTGGGGTCCAGAAGACTGAGACCACTTTTATAGATTCACTGGATTTGTAAAGGAGCCTAATGAAACAAGAGCCTACATTATTTCTGGGAATATATTTTAACACTATTAATGAACAACTGCTGGGCTGTAACGGGCCATATATAGTGAAAACTGCTTTAAAAATGTTGTTGGCAGCTAACGGGAAACCCACCAAGACAGGATATTCATTTCCTGCAACTTCTTGCTGTCGTAAAATTAATCTTTGCACGACTCACTGAGCTCTACATCACGGAAAACCTACATTTTCTTTAGTTTAACATTATTTTGTCGATGGTTATAGAAGCTACAACAGTTCCTCATCACACCTGCGACTGTTTTTAACATTTTTTACGCTCGCCATGCAAATGAATGATTTTCTACATGTTGGGATGTGACTGGAGAGCCTAGCTCGTACTTAACTAAAACAAGATTTTAAATGGATAAAAACAGGGGATGCAGACGGAGCCAGGCTCCAGACAAGTAAAGAGCAGAAGATGAGAAAGGCTGTACTGTAGGTTATAACATTTATTCTCCTCCACTGGAGCTGTTGAAACCTGTAGATTAATCAGAACTCTCTCTCTGTGTGTGTGTGTGTGTGTGTGTGTGTGTGTGTGTGTGTGTGTGTGTGTGTGTGTGTGTGTGTGTGTGTCCCACTGGGGTATAGTACAAAACACCGGGGGAGGTAAAATGCTGCGTTTGTTATCTGTCAGAGAGACAGGTGTTTTAGATTACTTCCAACACACACACACACACATACACACACACACACACACACACACACACACACACACACACACACACACACACACACACACACACACACACACACACACGCCGCACACGCACGCAGGCCTGCTTAGGGCCAGACAGAGATCCACCAAGACAACTAATCGATAGTCCGGAACCAAGGAGAGGAACAGATGAGTAGAGGTAAGGAGTAAGGGAAGAGAGGGAGGTGAAGAACAAATAAAAGAGAGAAAGAGAGCAAGAGAGGGGGGAGAGAGAGAGAGAGAGAGAGAGAGAGAGAGAGAGAGAGAGAGGAGAGAGAGATGTGAAGTGAGGCTTCCCAGGAAAGGTTCCTCATCAATCACAGAGCTGTTAGAATAATGGAGCCACCAGTGCTCACATCATCAATCTGTACCACACCTTACTGGACCAGGCTAGAATAAAATAGAACAGAATAGAATAGAATAGAAAAAGCCACATTAGAGAAAGTGCCATATGGAGAGATTTAAATCACACACGTGGCTCTTGTGCCAACATGGCAGCACACGCATGCCTGAGCTGCATGGGCACACACTACTAACCCTTTCAACAAACACAAGCACACTCAGTTATAAGAGACCATGGGGTGCAAGATTGAAGAAGGAGAGGCACATTGGCATTTCTGACAGCTGCTTGTCAAGACAGGAGCTGTTGCGCACACACACACACACACACACACACAAAGAAACCACACACACACACACACACACACACACACACACACGCAGGGGCTTTGGCCTCTGCTAGGCGTTAACGCAGGGGAACAGCTGAGAGCCTCTGTGGAACGCAGCAACCCGACCACAACACTGGTGACCACAGAGACAGAGAACGACAGGAGGAGAGAGATAGAAGCTGCGTTTCCAGCCAACTGTCAAACCAAATTTATGCAAAGATCTGATGTGTCACAAACAATAAAATCCAAATTAGGGGTCTTTGCATGGATTGAGGAGATTATATGGGCCATCATGGAATGTCAAAATGAAAAATGTGGAAAGAGTGTTTCAGCAACGGATTCTTTAATGGCAGCTCAGTTTGAGAGTGGGCTGCAGAGAGAGAGAGAGAGAGAGAGAGAGCCTTCAGCTGCAGTGGAGGTAAAGACAGGAAGGAAGTGTGAGACTGATGGGGCCTTGGACTTGTGCTGCCTCTTGGCCACGGCTCCATTCTGTATTTTTCTGGCACAGAGTTTGGCTACAGTTGAGCTTTGACAATCAAAAACACTGCTTTTATTCAACATTTGCCTGTGACTACCTCTGATTGTGAGATTATTCATCCACATTAACAGAGGAGGTGCTGTCCATACACACAAATTAAAAGAAGACAAGCTGCCTCCAACAAGTGAGTCAGGTTTCATCTCTGCAGCCAACAACCTAGGCCATTTGCCTTGTTCTTGTGCCTTGAGCAAAACTCTGCTGCCTCAATGGCTCCAGCGCTGTTGACTGAACATTAGACTGAATTCTTTATCATTTCTACAAATATCTTACAGGTATCATGGGCTGTCTAAGCCCTTAAATATGATGTTAGACCTTAGTCCTGCAAAGCTAGGCTGAATCTGACCAGTTTATCATTATTATTTTTTTGGAGCACGATTGTCTGGGGAAATGTTAGTCGCTAAAACGGATAATCAACTGAGTTTTGCAGCTATAAGCCCAACCAGTCAGTAACTACTAACAGTTTAGACCAGTAGGTTCCAGCCAGGGGTGCGGGACCCCACAAAAGGTTCACAAGCTGTAAATGTAAGAGGTCACAAGATGATTCACAGAAAAGGAGAGAAGAAAATATATATTTCTGCTACAGAAAATTATGTTTCTTTTCTCCTGTGTGTTCAAATAATAGTTTCTTTAATTTACAGATTACTGTTAATTTTATCCCTTGAAAATAATTTCACAAATAAAAACACTGAAATTACCGCCTCACAGTTGTATGCCTCTGCCAACCAGTCCAGCTGCAGTTAATTAGCATGTGAATTATTGAGTTTTGTGTTTTATGCGGTCCTTGACCTTTGACCTTTGACTACCAAAATCTAATCACTTCATCTTTGAGTCCAATTGAGCGTATGTGCCAAATCTGAAGAAATTGCCTCGGGGCGTCACTGAGATATTGTGTTCATGAGAATGGGACGGAACAGACATAGACAATCCAAAAACATAATGCCGCCGGCCACTGCTGTCGGAGACATGGAGATCTGAGAGGGAAAGATCAGTGTTTAGTTGAACTGGTTAATGTATACAACCTATGGTGAAGGCCGGCAACTAGCCTTTGCTTTGTTTTAAGGGGTCACAGATGAGGTCAAAAAGGTTCTGGCGATGATAAACCAGAATTAGCTAGCTCTCAAATTAATGACACGAGCCAAGTTTTTCCACTTGAAAAATCATACAGACACAAATGTGTTCTGTGTGTTTGTAGAGATAGGTATCGTAAGCTATAGATCTGTCCAGTTTTCATCTGTTAGCGTAGTGAAAAGCTGTAAATGTGTGAACACTTGCAAGTTATTAATTCAAGTTAAAAAGCCCTAATGGTGGTTTATGACTGGAACCATGTGACTGCCATTCAGTCATTCTTTGAAATTGAATATAAAAGTGGAGCTACAAGTGAATGCTACTGCACCCCTGCTCCTTGTTTCCAAACCACATACCTGTATGTACTCCCTGTTGCTGTCCTCATTGGGCGTCCATGCGTTGTCATTGTAATTGAGTCGGGCCTGTCGCGGCAGCCAGTGTTCATCATAAAAACTGGACGAGGCCGTGATCTGGTCATCCGTGATCTTCCCCGACTCCATACCGAACGCATTACTGCAATGGAAAGCTGAAGAGGGAGAGGAGAGGAGATTCAGATGATTGTTCTGCTATCTTTTTGTTTAGAAGCAGCGAGTGGTAACTTATACTTACTCTCACTGACTTCCTTGTGCGTCATGTTGTATCGAGCTGAGAAGCCATCTTTAGCCACGGCCATGTCCGTGTGGAAAGACAGAGAGAGAATCCCAGTGGATGACTGGATCTCTGGCGGCACCCTGGTCCCACAGTAACGACCGATCTGAGGGCCAACTGTCAATCAAACAAGAATTATGTGATTAGGTTTCAGTCTGTTCAAACTCTGCCCGCAATTTCTATGTGTCAGGATTTATTAGTTTATTTATTTGACTCATGAAACTGTGTTACACGAAATCTCTCTCAACCAGATGTCGAGGTGGTTTATTACTCTTTCAATCCTTTATCAATCCCTTCATCCCTCAATCCTCACATTCGTCTATATGCTTCACTACTTGCATCGTTTTCTCTCCGTTCCATTACCTCTATCTCTCCCTTCATCCACGGACATTTGCTCGTCGCTCCGCCCTCTAATGTCAGCACCCCTCTCCCCGTCATCTATCAACTCTATCTCTGGACTGGACGTGGCTTTACAATGTGTAGTATGTGTGTGTAAATCCAAGGATCTAAGTGATTCCTCTACTGTCTTCTTCTCTAATACCACAACTTGTATATGTCAACACAAACAGATGAGTGTGATTTGGAGCCCTAGGGTGTGTGTGTGTGTGTGTGTGTGTGTGTGTGTATGTGTGTATGTGGAGTCAGGAGGTAGCAGGATGAATCTACTATCTGTGCTCCAACCATTTCCCGAACACACGCACACACACACACATACACACACACACACACACACACGAGGAGGCTTGTGAGGGAGGAGGAGGAGGCAGGAGGAGGAGGCAGAAGACAAGAAAATAGCTGGCAATCGATCAGTGGTATTGATTTTTTTCTTCCCTTTTGGAATGGGTGGATATTTGAAATAGGGCTCTTGAGCAAATAACGGTAATAACTCTTTTCTGTATGGTGGTGGAGAAAACAGGAAAATGAGAAGAGAAGAGAAGAGAAGAGAAGAGAAGAGAAGAGAAGAGAAGAGAAGAGAAGAGAAGAGAAGAGAAGAGAAGAGAAGAAATAATTTCAATAAATAATTACTGATGTCTGCATGAAATTCTGGTCAAACAAATTTAATATTTCTTGAGGATTTAATATTTAATATTTCCAGCTTACGCACCAAAACGCTGTCTCTGTCTGTTTATGAATTTAATTTCAGCAGTGTGTAAAGCAGACAGAAGGCACATTTACCCCTTGTCTGACCTCTGCAAACACATATGTGGTTTCACACACACACACACACACACACACACACACACACACACACACACACATAATTACAATTACACCAATGTCTCTGCTACTTAATAGATTCATAATTTAGTATGTGGATAAGTTACAGAGTTAAGTTTTAAGAGGAGGCAAAAATAGATTAAACCCTGACTCAAAACACAAACATACTCAGCCACATGGGGGTAAATGTAAAAACACAGACCCACACAGAATAACCACAAACTCTTCATATTCTAGTTTTCTCTCTCTAGTCAAGTCAGCTCTGAGTTGTCTTTGTCATCTGATCCTCTTTTCCTTTTCCTTTCACTCAATAGATCTTTGGGCCTCCACCCTTCTTCCCACACCTTTAACCTTATAACATACATGGTCATTCTCTTTCCTGCTCATCTTCTCTTCCTGTTTAGGTCCTTGCAAAGGGTGAAACTTCTGTCCTTCACCTCTGAATCCTATCCTGTATATTTCCTTCCCTTTCAACCTCCCACTCTTCATTTCACTTTCCTTCTTTTCTCTTAATCCTGCTATTCTTTTTATAGTCTCTCTCCTTCACTCATAGCTCTTTTTTTTGCCTTTCTGGTCATCTTCTGCTTTCAACTTTGCTTAACCTCTCTTGTCTTCTACTAAATCCTCTGAAAAAGAAGGAGTAAAGATGCCCTGGCTTTTTTTTTCTTTAACCACCCTCCTTTCCTTCTACCATCTCTGACCCCCCCCATCCCCCTCAGGCTAGATTCATATTTACAGTAAAGTTCCTCACAGAGAGAAAAGCACCGTTGTTTGCTCTCCTTTGCTGCCCATGCTGTTCGGTCTTGGCCAGCCGATTTCTAAGTACCTTAGAATATTAGAGAATTAAGCTATTTGTAAAACTAAAAACAATAGACGATACTTATCAAAGACGGCATGAAAACCTACCACACAACAATCAACAACAAAATATAAATGATGAAAAACTAAAATGAAATTGTAAAATATCTATTTTCCAAGATCTCTTCCGAGATTTCTTCCCTCCTTTCCAGCACCCCCTCTCTGAACTCCCTTCCTGTTTCTCCTCTCTCCCAGTCCTCTTCCTGAGGGGCAGACCAGAAGTCTTCTGACCTTCATTTATTCATCTCTGCATTGTCTTTCTTTGTTCCAGTCTTCCCAGCAGCGGAGGGCTTTTCACCGCCCTTCCATTGCTCTTCTCTTTCTCTCTACCTCTTCCATTTCTTGAAACTAGATCCAAGGTCTTTGTGCCTTAGATGCGTCCTTCTAAACTCTTCCAGTCCTTCCAGCAGCCCGACCAGAAATATCCTAGCCCTCTACCATTCCTCCTCTCACCTCCCCTCTTTTCTCCCTCCTCTCAGCAATTCCTGTTTTATTTTCCCCTTGAAAAGTTATGTTGTTTCTCCACAGCAGGTGCCAACATGCTGCCTGTAAGCTTAGCTTTCATCTACCAACGCATAGCTACCAAAATAGTTGCTACTCCACCTCAGTCGATAATGATGTAGGCAGGGCAGAATACACACCATTCTCACTTGGCTCTGTGTATTGACTCATGAAGTGGCTTCACATCAGGGTCATCAAGATAATCATTATCAACAGTCATATCGTCAAAAACAACAATCCCCATTTTCAGATGATCAAAAAGAGCCGAAAACACAAGAGATTCGATCAGTGTCTCACCTCCCGGGAGCCCGTCCCACACCTCCAGCCAGTCGTACTTGCAGTCGCCCTCTCCGCCCGGCAGGGGGTCGTTCTCCAGGTCAAAGGTGAGGAAGGTGAGGGTGACATCCATGCTGGGAGGGACGATGATGATGAAGGAGCACTCCAGGTTGTGGGGGTATTTGTCGGGGAAGCCAGGAGACTCAATGAGACCCGAGGGACTGGTGAAGTTACGGGAACAGTCTGAGCCTGGGATGAAAACGCAGAGACAGAACACATTTTAAGTGACTTACGTTAAATGGAAAATGTATATTAATAGCAGTTTGAGGTTGGTAGAACTCAAAATCTGTCACCTTATCTGGAAAAAATGAAAAATGGAAGCACAAAAACGTGTTTAGAAAATGGGTGTAGACACGTTAAGAGTTTCATTATACTTGAAACTAATGATATTATTCTGGGAAAACACTCAGAGGTGCTGTTTTGAGAGGAGGGTGTTTCCAACCTCACAACTCACAGCCAACAGTACCCGCTGTTATCTCAGTTTCCTTTACTAGACAGAATGGCTATGTGCTGATTTACTGTGAGTCCACATTATGTACTTTAAATGCAGTGAATGTGATTTGTGGGAGACATCGGGAACGTGAACGTGAGTGCTGAAGTAAATGTAGTTTTACATAAATGAGAGTGATGTCTACTCAAAATGGCCATGTAGGGAATAAGAATATGTTTTAGGTGTTTCAGCTTCAAAAACCACAACACCGATTCTTACAAAAAGGCATTTAATGTAGTGAATCATTAACTGTTTCACACTGTGCAAAGTCAAAGATGCGGAAATGTATGAGAGAGAAAGTGAAGTTACAGAGGACAGACACAGAAAAGTTTGAGTGTCCATACCAGAAGAAATGCGTCTGCTTGTGTGTCTAACCTGTATCCCTCCCATCACCTGAGACAATGGGAGGGCAGCCTCAAACCCCCACTCTAATCTTTAAGAAGAATTAACAGACACAAGTGAGCCAGAGATGAGATGAGATGCCAGGGAGAAAGACAGACATAGAATCTGGTGACAGCATCATGGTGGTCGAGCTGTTATGATGTGCTTTAGATATCATCATATGTGCTGCACACACAGATGCACACACATATGCACACACACACAGACACACATATGCGCACAGTGATCTGGGGGTAATCTGGGGATCTTCATTTCTAAATTACTGTAATACCCTCTCTATTAATACTCTCTCTCTCTGTCTGTCACACACACACATGCATGCACGCACGCACGCACACACACGCACACACACGCACACACTATGGAGTGAATGTGGTTGCACCAACTGGACCATTATTCATGTCCACCGAGCCATGTATGACCAAACGCCCAGACACGCCCAGACACGCACGCACGCATGCACGCACACGCGCGCACACACACACACACACACACACACACACACACACACACACACACACACACACACACACACACACACACACACACACACACACACACACACACAAACAGTCTAAGCCTCTTATGATAACCCATTTCTCCCCAGTCTGTTTGGGTGTCTGCTATTGTGCTCGCGTGCCTGCATGAGTGAATGAAGAGAATAAGTACTGTATGTGAGTGTGTCCATGTAAAGTTGTGTGTGTGTCTGCATGTGCATCTGACAGAACAGACACACATCAATTTTAATCAATACAATTGTCTACACTGGCGACTAACAGCTCACACTTTCGGCTTGCGACTGTGACTCACACACACACACAAAGTGTGTTTTTAGGTTTTAAGTATTTACTTCTGATTTAACTATATTGATTGTGTATTATACGCACAATGGAGGACTGCAGCTGCTACCAGTGTGCTGCTTTCCCTACATAACAGGTATAAACAACACAGTGTATGTCAGAGAGAGAGACAGTAAAGCTCCAAACTTAAAAAAAAGAGTTTAAAATAATTACTTTCAATGGAGATCTCCATGGAAACTAGCTTGTTACACTGAATGAGTTTGGACTCAGTCAATCAGTTTGCCAACTGACAGACGCTGGAAGAGGCGAGCATATGTATGTGTCTGCCATTTCTTTTTTCTTTTTTTTTCCGTCTGCCAAGTCTCGGATATTCACTGTCAAATAAACTCCTGTAGGTGTAACTGGGAATATTGATGTTGTTTTTCCTGCCTCCACCCCTTTGCTCTTCACTGATCCCACACAGTGGTGGTCGTGGGGAATACTTGTCTGAATCTGTCTGACTCATTTGACTGATTTATGTCAGCTACGTTAGATACATTTCCACATTTGAATTTGTTTGTTAGTCTACATGAATGCCTCCTGTATGTCTGTGTAATGTGATCATCCATTTTTCCACTACAACAGCTATTTTTAGTGTCATGGAGCTTGTCCGTCTTTCCTGGTATCTCCCCGTTTGTCTGTTTTTCTGTCCCACTTTCGAGTCTGATCTGCTTGTTATCGTGACCTTCTCCCTCATGCAACGACCTCAGACTCAAGCACACCCACACACACACACACACACACACACACACACACACACTCACACACTGTCTCTCACGGGGTACCCCTCGCGTCTGGCCCCCCTGCAGAGTCTGTTGCTGGATAGTGTGGATCTGCGTGACTATGAGCATGTGTGTGTGTGTGTGTGTGTGTGTGTGTGGGTGTAGAGTGAATGCCTGACCAGTTCTGTTGCCGGCAGCGATTTTATTCCCTTCTCATTACTTCATGTCCATGAACATTGCAAAAACACTTGTGCCCTCCTTTCTCCTCCCCTGTCCCTTCTCCTCTGTCTCCTCAGTCTCTCTCTCCCATGTTTCTACCTTGTCCCTCTAATATGTAAGTGTATTCAAAACCCAAAAAAAACAGCATCCAAAATTTGTTGAAAATATTCTGAACTGCTTTGCAAAATCAATGTACATCTGTCCATTTTCTATGTCTATTGCTTTTCTCTTTTGTAGGTCTCAGCTTCTCCCTCCATTCGTCTCTCCTTCCCATTTAAAGAGTGTGCCCCCCCCACTTCTCTTCTTTTCTGCTCTTTCTCACTCTCTTCCCTCCTGCTGTTCGTTCTTTACCAACATCCCATCATCCCATGCATCTTTTCATCTTCCACAGCTCCATCATCCCCTTCCCTCCCACTGTCTCATTTCCTATTCTTTTCTACTCACTTCCCATCTGTTTGAAGGAAACACGTGTTTCACTGTGGGGTAAGGTTAGGGAAAGTGTGTGTGTATGTGTATGTGTGTGTGTAATGTGTGTGTGTGTTTGTGTGTGTGTGTGTGTGTGTGTGTGGGTTGCTGGGTAGATCTGGTGCTTGGGCTTACAGTTCAGTGATCAGGGAGACAGGAAAAAGTCTGTCAATGTGTGTGTTTGTATAGCGAGCTGGCATGCAGACGCTTTCATTCATCTAAATTGTGAGTATTTTCAATGTGAATATATGTGTGTATGTGTGTGTGTGTGTGTGTGTGTGTGTGTGTTAAGCTGGCACACAGACATCTACTTTCATTAAGCGTGTCTTCAATGCCAATGGGCTATTTGTCAGATCAAACCCACAATTATTCCCCTCCCTCCCTCCACCTATCTCTAACACACACACACACACACACATACACACACTTAAGGACACATGCAGGGGAAACTTGACATACACCCAGTGACAGACACACACACACACCACAGGCCCTCACACACAGCTCTTCAGCCTCTGGGAAACCACAGGTTGGTTTTTCTATATGTTGGTTGGATTCCACCTCAGTGTCATTGCAGCTGGAGGCTTGTGGTGCTGAAACTGCTCTGACATTACATTTCAGCCTCTGTCACTGAGTCACAGCAGGGATTCCCCTTGATAATAAACTCCCTATTCAACCAAATTACAGCTGACATATGAAATTACGCTGTCACAAGACAATCACCTCTTTAGCTACCCACATGTAATGTGCTAAAAGCTCCAGCCCCAGATTTACTTTGATGACATTTTCAAATTTCTCTTTTGAGTTTGATGTGTGGATGAAATTGAGGCATCTTGGAACATTCTCAGTTTGCCGTCACGTCAAAACACTGTCGTCTTTATTCAAATATTTACAAATGAATGCAAGCAAAGCTTTTCCACCAGAAAAAAAAAAACAATCCAACATATGCAAAATCTGCAGTCATCTGTCACTTAATGCCTTTCACAAAATCTCCATCAATTGGTGGTAGAGTGAAAAATACTTTTTAGTACTATAAACCACAAAGTAAGCAAAGCCACTATATGAGTAAAGATGTTTTTTTAAAAAAAAAAAAGGCACAATATGCTGCACTGCAGAACAAGGAATCGATTCAATTCCTGTTTCAGGTTTGTTGTGTATTTTGAAGGACATCCTGCCTCTGCTATTTGTTACACTACCTTTACCACAGAGCACCTTTCACTCATCACTGGGGCAGGTCTGGATCCACTTTCCTCAATGAAAGCCGGGGGAGGGAGGAGTGAGCGCTGTGATTGGTTAGACTGTTTAATAAACTTACTTGATGTGTAGCTGAACAGAGGCAGAGAGGAAGTGCCCAAAGGCTCTGGGTGAACGTAAACAACAGCAGTTATTAGAAGAATCGTCACAATAGCTTCCATATTACAACCCCGAGGAGTCTGAGTGTGTGTGTGTGTGTGTGTGTGTGTGTGTGTGTGTGTGTGTGTGTGTGTGTGTGTGTGTGTGTGTGTGTGTGTGTGTGTGTGTACTTGTACTTCTCACAAAAATCTGTTCAAACAGTTTCACCATGGGACTCACTTCCAATTTAGATCAAAAGCTGGTCCTCACAAGGTAAACATTTAGGCTTAAGATTTGATCTTTGAGGTTAGGTTTAGGTTAATGGATGGGGTTAGGATAAGTTTCTAGTGAATGAATTTAAGTCACTACGATGTCCTCTTAAGTGAGAAAAATAAGTATCGTGTATAGGTGTGTGTATGTGTGTGCAAGGTTCCGTGCAGACACGCAAGCTCCCCTGAATTTGTGAGTAACCACTCAGCCTGCATCACTGCATTCATATATGTCTGTCTGTGTGTGTGTGTGTGCGTGTGTGTGTGTGTGTGTATGTCTGGTAAGTTCTGGGTCACAATAACAGCTGGGGGCGCACTGCCTAGACAGTAAAATCTGATTGGCCGCTCCATTCTAGTGGCTAGTGTTTTTATTGGGTGGAATTTAACTACAGTATCCATAGTAACAGATCTGTAAACAAAAACAAGTGT